GATAAGCATGTTTTCTTGGATCGAAGGAAAGCAACAAAAGTAAAATGAAAGTAATGTATCAATGCAAATTGCTATTCCTAACTGTATTTCTACACAATAGCATAATCTGTGGATGAACGAAAATACTCTTCTATCAATGTAAAACTATTAACTGTATTTTATTGTTGTGACCAATATTAAAATTTGTAATTGCTTATAGAATTTTTGTTAAGAGCACATTGCGAAACACTAATTGATCGAGAACAAAATGAAAGGACAAAAGCCACAGAGCGGAAACATGTAAGGAATATAAAATAATAAGTGCAGTTTTTTAGATAAAGGTTTGTGTTTTATCTCACAGTCACACATCATTGCGACAACGGCAAAAATGCTGAAAACGTTAATTTAGATTTTTAGTCCGTAGTTATGTTATATTTTAATTTATTTATTATCCATTTAAATAGTTTTAGATTAGTTGCAAGTAACTCTTGTTGTTGAAAAATTACATCAGTAAATACTTAAATATGTGAATAAACTAATAAGAGGAAATCAAGTATCGTTTTTCTTTCGTTACATATATATATGTATATTCCCAGAATATACCATGAACATACAGTGTATTAACTCTGACAGATTCCTGGGACATGCGTGGAATGTTCATAATGTAACTCAGGTATGTCCCAGGAATATGCATGTACATCACATGAATATTCCAGGTATATTCTGGGAATATCATTTTGCTATGTGGGCATTGGAAAGGGGAATAAAAGAAAGTTAGATACTCTCACTAAATAAAGTTGGTAGATTATTCGCAATGGATCTTCACTATTTAAAACAATTAGAAAGCTTCGGAGACATGAAATATTAAGCTATAACTGAAATTAAAATATTTGTGGCTAGTTAACTACGTTAATTTTTTAGGAATAGAAAGGCTGGCTAATCATTTAAATCAAACAATGTAAAAAGCATATTGATTCCTGAAGACATTATTTTTGTCTAAAATATTCATATTCGTACAGTTGATCCATCATATACTCCGCTACGCGTTATGCCTGGTCGGACTAGTTTAAGTGACGTCACACTTCAGCCAGTGGGCCTTCTTGATTTCGGTGGTAACGGTTTGATTCACCTACCTGACTTTCTCGTGTAGGAGTCGGCAAACACCAAGCACTGAACCGCCTCGGAGGTGATGTTTTCCAGGCTGCTCATCGAGCTGGATCTGGATCGCGAGAAACTGCTGTCCAGCTTGTCTACCCGACCCATAGAGACAAAAAGAGTCATTAGTCCACACGATTAAACATTGCATGCCGCTAGTCATTGCTAAGGACAGACTGGAAGCTAGTTTTAGGACAGAGACTGATCGTCCAAAGCCCAAGACTGTCCATTAACAAGGTGTCTACAGGTTTGTGCACATGCAAACTACTGCCGAAGCAAAAGCTTGGATAAGATCCATTGTACAACTGTAAGAAAGCCGTTAAATCGGATCAGAAAGCCTTTGCATGCAAGTTAGCAATAGCAGTAATATCAACTTGATTTAAATTGGCCGGGGGGGTTTTGATCGCTTCCCAGCTCAGCTTGACTGTAAATTAAAAAGCTGCAGCAGGAGCATTTTATGATGGACATTTCAACGTCCTGCTGGGCTTCGGACGGTAAACAAAAAACGAATTACTCAAGGCCATGCAAGATATAACGTTTTGCTCGGGTATTTCCATTTGGTTGAAGAAAAATACAAAACTAATCAAACAGAAAAGTAAAGGAACAGAAACGATAAAGCGAGTTAATACAGGTGGTTACCAGGGGGGTCGTGCAAAGCACATCACATGGATTTTACCAGATGGTCATAATTGATTTTTTCTTAAATTTCGAACGCGCTGAACTGAACCTTCGCAACTGGCCCAAAAAAAACATATAAACAGTGGACACCAAAGTGCAGAACATTGAACATTCAACAGTTACAAGGGTGATTTACTTGCTTTCCAACAGCATTAAGCGAGAGGAGGATTCAGTGGGTTTGAGCAACAAGCGCGCGTCTATTCACAGTTGCCAGAAAGCAAATAAAGGGAAGATCAGATCTGGCACAGATAGGAAAAGATTACAGATTTGGAAGTACATTTAGTCACCAAAGAAATGCCGTGTGTGTCATGCTCAGCTAAGTAATGGTGGCTCACTGGTGAGGAAGGAAGTGAAAAGTTTCAAGGCGCTGCATTTTCAGAACGAACAGCGAATTGATGAAAACTTCACAAAATTGGCTCGAGAATTTTCAACAGGGTGTTGACTGTGTAACTGGTCTAATTGTTCTTGGCACAAGCAGCTGAAAGTAGAATTCGTTCCATTCTACTTGTTCACCCTGTATATTAATTGCAGTTGGATACCTGGAGGTTCAGGTGATTTTCGCTCTGAATTGCAAATAGAAATTTTGTCTAGCAGCTGGAATTGAATGTTAGAGAAATTATTTCGACAGCTTTTGTACAGAGGAGAAAAAAATATTTAAAATTCCGGTACATTGGAAAAAATACATCGTGATTCAAAGTGCAGTTTTTGCTTTTTTTTGTATGAACAACTCTGCCTAGCGCGTCGATGGCCTTTGAGTATGTTGAAGTCCGGAAGAAACAATTTCGGAAAAACTGTAACTTTCAAACGTATGGAAATATAAAGTTCAAAAGTTGGGAAGCGCAAACCAAAAAAAAGTCGCTGAATAAAAGGGTGGAATTTAAAAAAACTGGCAAATTGACGGTAGTTGTAAATAGTTTTTCGTCATTTTGTGATTTTAGGCAGGAAACATAAATGATTGATTTTCTGCAAAATCTCACAATTTTGGTCATTCAGGAAAAGAGTCGCGTTAACGGCCTACGTTAATGCGTGCCTGCATTGTAAAAATTCCTAATTTTCCAGATATAAAATTGAAAATTTCGGAGATTATCACGAAAACTTTTGCGCTTCCGCAACAAAAAATTTCAATCTCACAAGAATGCCCGTAAATTTTACAGAAAATTTTCAAATTTGCCATCTCAAACTCTGTGAATAAAGGGCGCATAAAAAAATTGGTAAATTGACCGTGAGTGCAAATTTTTGCAAAGCGCGTTTATGCAGAAAAAATTACTAAAATCAGAACAAGTGCAAGATATTTGATTTGTCTTGGAAATTCGGTCTGGGCAGTGGTGAAGAAAAAGAAAAACTTTTTTAGCTACCAAGCTTTCGGCAATTTATTGTCGCCTTCCTCAGGTAGCACCCTGAAATTATTTCAACAGCTTTCGTACAGAGTAGAAAAAATTATTTAAAATTCCGGTACATTGGAAAAATACATCGTGATTCAAAGTGCAGTTTTTTGTTTTTTTTTTGTATGAAAAACTCTGCCTAGCGCTTTGGTGGCCTTTGAGTATGTTGAAGTCGGCATCCGGAAGAAACAATTTCGGAAAAACTGTAACTTTCAAACGTATGGAAATATAGAGTTCAAAAGTTGGGAAGCGCGAACCAAAAAAAGTCCTTGAATAGAAGGGTGCAATCAAAAAACCTGGTAAATTGACGGTGGTTGTAAATATTTTTTCGTGATTTTAGGCAGAAAACATAAATGATTGATTCTCTGCAAAATCTCAAAATTTTGGTCATTCTGGAAAAATGTCGCGTTAGCGCAGGCCGCATTGTAAAAATTCCTAATTTTCAAACATGTCCAGATATAAAATTCATAACTTGGGAGACTATCGAGAAAACTTTTGCGCTTCCGCAACAAAAAATTCAGTCTAACAAGAGAACCCGTAAATTTTCAGAAACTTTTCAAATTTACCACCTCGAATTAAGAAGTCTCTGCAAAAAATTCGTAAATTGTCCGTGAGTGCAAATATCACGACTCGATTTTGCGATTTTGTAGAGAAGGGTTGAGCGCTTTTAAGCAGAAAAAATGACTAAAATCAGAACAATTGCAGGATATTTGATTTGTCTTGGAAATTCGGTCTGGGCAGTGGTGAAGAAAAAGAAAAACTTTTTTAGCTAGCATTTTTAGCTAGCTAGCATATTGTCGCCCCTTCCTCAGGGTGCTACCTGAGGAAGGCGACAATAAATTGCCGAAAGCTTGGTAGCTAAAAAAGTTTTTCTTTTTCTTCACCACTGCCCAGACCGAATTCCCAAGAAAAATCAACCAACCTGCAATTGTTCGATATCGGCCAAGAAACTGAACTTATTTACAATCAGAACGCCCATTGATTTTCTGCAAATTCCCAAACTTTTGGTCTTTCAAGAAAAGTGCCTTAGTAGCACAGGGCAGATTGTAAAAATGTTCAAATTTATTTAAATATAAAATTCAACTTTTCGGGCTAAAGACCGCATTTTTTTCATACAAAATTGCTCTTTCCCTTTGTGGCGGAAATAATCGTGCAAAATCAAGTCCGGGACAGCCTGAAAAGCTGCATAATACACTGCACAACACTTGAACTGCCAGGTATGCACAAGTGCTGAAAACCGTAGGTTTTTTGCTCTGTTGCTAGCACATAATTGAAATCACCCTGTATTTGATGGCATTCGCAAAGTTCTAAATGAAAAAGTCAGAATTTTCCAACAAAACCAATCTAAACAACTAGAAAGTCAATCCTAAAATATCTAAGTAAAGTTTGGGCTAATGTGTGTTCAACTACTGAGTGATAAACCGAAGAATGGCATTCTAGAATGAACGTTTTACGTTTTGAAACCTTTTACGTGCTACAGTTGTACTGCTATTGCCTATTGAAAATGATCCTAGTTCTACGCAAAGAGTACAGTTACTGAATTAGGAAAGTTGAAATGCTAAATATTACACTGAAACTACTAAAGAGACCAGAAAGTTAACATGAAGTGAGTCTACTATACTTCAGGAAAACGCTAAAAATCCTGTTAAAACGCAAACTACCAGTTAAAGAGAGCAGAGTAGGGAGCCATTAAGAGTAGGTGATTGAAGTGAGTAGAATGAAAGGTTGAAACGATGCCAGCTAATAGGAGAAGAAGTGAACAAATTATGTATATTTACATTAAACGTGACTTAAAATATGAGGTCGGCAAACGTCCAGATCTACCAGTTTAGAGGCACACAAATACAAGCGAGCGTAGACGAGCGTACTCAGCTACGCTCGTATGTATTCCGAATAAATAAATCTGAGCGCGTATGTCCGTCCATGAATTGAACGAAAATCAACATGACTGATATGGGACGAAGCTACCAAAACAGTGGTGTTAGATTCGGTTACTTTCGCATACTCGTAACGACTCGTTACTTCGGATCCGTTACTCATACACTAGTCTAAGGCCCATTTTCATCAAGCGACCTTAAACCAGTTTAACGCCTGAAACTCAGTTTGTGCTAGATATTTTAACCCCCGGATGCACCGTTTTCGCTTTAAACACTGATTATATCTTAACCGGCGTTTAAAAAAAATGCATTGCACCGTCGCAAACTAATCGTCTGTTAGTTAATCAGAGAATCACTATGGCA